ATTCCACTTCGGATATTAATCAAAATGTAAATTTTTGCAACAGAAAACAGATAATGTGCAAAACAAAAACTCCTTTAGGTATTAGCATAAAAGCCTGAATTCTACCAAAATTTACTCCTACACTATTCCGGTCAAAATCGAGGAAGTGATCAGTTGTACTTCAAAAATAACTTCACTGACTGGTACTGCATCTATAAAATGGGATGAGATTGCGATCCTGAATCCAGTTACTTCAAGCTAGCAGTTCATTTTTGGCCACATGCTTTAGTACTATGGTTTTTCCATTAGTAACTATTAGTTGGACTTGCAAAACTGGTATAATTAATTGCATGAAATTTAAGAAAGCAAATTTCGACTGACTATTTCGGTGACACAGGCCGTGTTCGGGCATATCGAGGTGCGCTTTGCGCTGGAAACACGTCGAGGCGTTTGAAAGCCCGTATCCGCACGTTCCATCTCGTATGCTACAGTGTCCTCCTGCAAACTCATTCTTTTCGCTTCGCACATGATGATGTAGTATGCCAGAGTGTCAAAATGCTGACGAATGTAATTTAATTTACAGCTTACTAATAAGTTTCATATTATAAAAGTATTTGTTAAAAACACGCAGTTTTTCGAGAAAACACTCTTTTTTCAGCAAACATACACTAAATTTTTTGTTTTACATAAAATTTGAACTCCTTATCATAGTTTACAAATTGCAACATTTGAAAAAACGTGGTGACGATCATTGCATGAAAAATCATTGACATTACAAAACGACTAAAACCCCTTCAAGTGCTGCAGCAATCTCTTCAGGAGAACAAAAAAGTCAAGATCACCGCCAGGCTTGACCGCCAGGCGATGTAACATTGGTCAAAGCAAATGAAACAGTTTCCAGCTGCATAATTAGCAGCACACTGCGAATAGAAACTAATCAAAATGCCAAAGCATGGCAAAAGCCGGAAATAGAAAAATAATTGTTATTGACAGCTTGTACGAATACTGTAGTTGCTGTATTACCGGTGAGTTACCAGTTGAGGCTAAATCGTTGAGGAAGTTTCAGATTTTATTTTATCAAACTTTTCGCTTCGCGGTTGTTCAATTTACGGCGTTTTAGCAAAGGAAGCAGTGTACGGTATGGAACGAAAAGCGTTGGCAAATCCGTGAAACTAAGGGAGACGAGTGCTGTATCCAACGGCAATCTTTTTGATTTTCCGCAACCCGAAAGAAATTTGACTAAAAAGGTATTTAGTAAAATCTTGGTTAGATTTTTTGTCTCGAAAATTGCTAAAAGCCCTCCCAGAAGCATTATGATTGTGTCAGTGTGCCACATAGTACCGTATTCCTTTTCTGTTCATGGTATTTGCCCGAAGTACCATTTTATGCTATTACGCAGTGTCACTGTTATTAAGAAATATTATTAAGTACAAACTTTTTGTTTGCTAGGATGATACTGCCAATCGCGATCACTTTCCTCCACAGCATTCCGCGCTGGCGGCGGCGACTCGCGGCCAATGTCCTGTGCCGTCGAATCTACAATTCCTATTAATTTCATCCAGCAAACTACGATTCATTGGCCAGTAACAGTGCCATTGCTGGGTGCGTGCGTGGAAGACGTGAGCAAATAAAGGAAAAGTTAGCTTCTGAAGCCTTTTGCACTTGGTTACTTTCGCATAGGTTTTTTGTTTTTCTGCTTGTTTTTGCCGAACTTTTTGGAATGACAGTATCACCAGCAACTGACCACTAGGCAGTGTAGCACTGATCAAAGGAATTGAAACGGTTTTTGCAAGTTGCTTATTTTACCAAATTTTTCGACACCATCAGCTACATTTCTAGCTAAACCTCCAAAATTTTCCTTTTCAATGCGCCTTTCCCTTTTTTCAGCAAAAAAAGAAGAATCCTGTTAACTACATTTGCTAATACCAGCCCTCTGAGTTAATTTGATTCAACTCGAAATTTTGTCCAAAGGAGAGGTCAACGCCAACTACCTGTCAGGCCACTTTGACAAGCATGGCCGCACTTCCATCTTGTCACATAAGGGCATTTGCATAAGACGGTAAATCTAGCTGTTTGTGGCAGCATACAAAGACTAAGCAGAAGCGTCCAAAGCCTTTGCACTAGAAGAAAGTTAAATCAAAATTTAGCTGGCTGCAGTAGACAGTTCGATGTTTAAGTAGGAAAATTGTTCTGGTTAGTTGGTAGATGAAACTTTTTCAAACATAAAAATTCAAGCAGAAAAGTGAATATTGGATTCTGGCAAAGATAACATAGGGTTCAAAGAAAAGAAGTGAGAAAACAGCTTTGCTAACTTCACTATTAGATGAGAACAGTGGTTTAGAACAGGGTTAGCAGCTAAGGGATGAAGCATACATACTTTGCTTGTTTTATAAGGTTATTTTGACACGCGCTATAGCATAATAATATTATCTGTGATATTCTGATTATTTTTACCACAAAAGTGCTGCTCAATCTTCGCTTACTAACCAGTATATTACGTTAACTGAATATATAATTAAGATATCCCTCACTATTCGATACTCTAAAGAGGATGTCTCATTTTCCCTATTCGCCTTTTTATTTTCTTTTTCGGTTTGAATTTAGAGTAAAAGCTTTTTTTGCCAAGAGCTATTTTTTAAATACCATTAACAAAAAGAGTTTCCAAATCGCAGTTTGCATTAAAGAGACAGCGCGACTATATATATTTTTTTTCGTAAATTTGCATAGATTTACCAAATTTGCATTTGGAAATGAATATTGAACAGAAACACACAGAAATATGCACACAAACACACCAACCAATATAAATGTATGCACAAACTGTACTTGCCCACATACGCGCACACAGAGAGAGATAGATACCATAGGCAAAGTTTCTTCAGTATATGTTTCTGCAAGTGTAAAAATGGGAGAAAAAGCGCTTTAAAATTGGTAGGAGGTCGAAGAATTCTTTGAAAATTTTGTCAAAAATGAAACAGTTTTTATGCTATGCCCAGAATGAGTTCAGTTTATAAATGAGATTTTCGATTTCGTTAATTTTATTGTCCATGCAAAACACATTGCCATGATCCGGAGCTGAGCAGCCCTTGTTGTTCGTATTCGCGATAATGATGATTGCGGTAGCAATTATGAATCTGATGATGTTGATGATGATTGCGGTAACAGTGAAATGATAACGATGGCTGTATTGATGACAAGGACGGTAGTGACAGTGGAAACATGACAGTAACACTGGTGATGATGATGGTGAAGTTGCTTATGTTGATGATGACTGTAGTGCTAATGAGGATAGTGAGGTAGTGAAGGTAATTGCAATGGTGACAAGAATAGTGATGATGATGACCGCAGACAGTGACAGTGATGGTGATAGCTACGAACTAGCAGTGGTAAGATAGTGAAGGGTTTTGGTGATGATTACAGTGATGATGAAGGTAGTGAAGTGGATGGCGATGACTACAGTAATGACAGTGGCGATAGTAGCTGGTGACAATAAAACAGTCGAGGCAGTGGTGAAGCTGGCGATAAAGCTGATCATATGCAGTTACGATAAAGGTTACGATTTCGCTTAGCTTACTTCGCTTAGCATAAACTTCATTCCCGATTCCTCT